CCCCAAAACCCCAAAACCCCAAAACCCCAAAACCCCAAAACCCCTTAAAAGAGCCTAATTGTTGCGATATGTTTAGTAAATATTTAAGTAATCTTAATAGTAAATGTTATATTACACAAAATTATTTGTGAGAACTTAGAATAAGTTTGTGAAACATTATTATCTTAAATCTTGATTGTGAAATTATGTCTCAAAATAATGACCAGGAGAATACTCCAAACAACGAAAGAAACCAGTAAGTTTGCCATTACTAAAACAGCCTGAACAAGTTATAATTCAACGTTCAGGCAAAATGGAGATTCTCTGCAGATCCATTAACTCTATAGAAGCCCATTACAGACAGAAAATGCCATTTTTGGTAATGAAGGACGATCCCTGAAGATCTCATGGCACAACCTGAACTACACAGTGAAGGCAAAGTACACAAATGAAGAGAAGCAGAGGCTTGGAGTGGACCAAAAGTAAGAATTCTCGTCTAATTCTGAGGTATTATCAGAAGGAAATTGTCAAAAATGCTTCTGGCTATTGCCAAAAAGGAGATGCACTGTTTATCATGGGATCTTCTGGGGCTGGCAAAACTACTCTACTCAACATCCTCTCTGATCAGATTTCCAAGAAGAAGGATACATCTTTGGAGGGCCAAGTACTGATCAATGATTCGATTAAAGTGACCAGTGATAATTTTGGCTCTTTTGCTGCGTACGTAACCCAGGATGATTACCTTTTTGAGTCATTTACATGTGAAAAATGTATTGAATTTGCAGCAAGGCTCCGTCTTAACTTGTCAAAAGAGGAAACTGCATCCAGAGTTGAAGATATCATCGAGAAGATGGGCCTCCAGAAGTGCAGAAAGACCATGGTCGGCAATGAACGTCTCAAAGGGCTTAGTGGAGGCGAGAAGAGGAGAACTTCTATGGCTGTCGAACTTGTGACTAATCCGGATATTCTCTTTCTCGATGAGCCTACTTCTGGGCTTGATAGCTTCACTGCTCAAAAGATCGTAGCTTTACTTGTTGATTTTGCGAATAAAGGAAAGACTGTAATTGCTACAATCCATCAGCCAAATTCAGAGGTTTTCCAGAGTTTTCCTAAACTACTGTTGTTAATGGATGGCTACACGATTTATCAAGGAGAGACTATGGCTAGTGTTGATCATTTCAAATTACTCGGATACCCAGTTCCAGAATTTTCAAACCCTTCTGATTTCTACCTGAAAGAGTTCTACATTAGCTTTGAGAGAACCAGGGATGAGGAAGACAAAATGAGAGTCTTGGTTGATGGATATGATAAACAGATTCATCCTCAAATTGAAGCTGGGATGAAAAGCACAAACTATGACGAAGTTACTGAGAAAGAATTACAAAAAGGAATGACCCGAGCTGGCTTTTTATTACAGTTTTGGATCCTTCTGAGCCGCTCTACCTATAATGTATTCTTCCATCCTATGATCATTAAGTTTAAAACAGTCGGAGTGTTGACAATTGCTCTTGTATGTATGGCAGTTCTGTGGGATCCAGGAGAGGATAGAGAAGGTATCCGAGGAACGATTGGTTCGTTTTTATTCATCACAGCTACCTTCACATTTGCTCCCATTGCCACGACGGTAAGGTCCTTTTCTGCAGAGAAGCCAGTGTTTATGAAGGAGTATAGCAATAAGACTTATGGCCTAATTCCATATGCAATCTCAAATTCACTAGTAGAGATACCTTTTGAGTCAACATATGCAGCGATATTTGCTATTATTGTATACTTTTCAATGGGGCTTGAAATCGATGCTGGCAAGTTCTTCATCTTCTTTTTAGCAATAACAATGAACTCCTTTTGAGCAATGTCAATGGGATTATTCCTATCAGCTGCTGTGCCTAATGAAGAATCTGCCGTTGCTTTGACTAATTTGTTTGTTGCTCCTGCACTACTTTTATGTGGAGTCCCAGTCAATCTTGGAACACTTGATCCATGGGTTAGTTGGCTGACGTATATCTCTCCTCTAAGATATACAGTTGAGATATTGGTGAGAAATGAGTTTGAAGGAAGAGCTTTCTCCGGTCTCGAGAATCCAGTAAGCATGCTGGAGTACAATCTAAGCATTCCATTCAACTTTGGGATGCTGGCAATCCTCATTCTGCTATTCCGAGCTCTGGCTGTCTTATTCTTGAGGCTGACGTCAAAGAGATAAGTTAAGGAGTTTTCAATTTAAAAAACTGTAGATGGGGTTTTGGGGTTTTGGGGTTTTGGGGTTTTGGGGTTTTGGGGTTTTGGGG